GTGTTTATTCCAAAAAAAGACGGTATAAAACATATCAATCAAAATAAACTTTGAACACGTTACTTTAACAAGTTAGGTTTTTGATTATTTCAAGATTGTGATGCACCCTATATCTGCCACGTAGTTCAATGCCGAAACGCAGAAGAATGCAGTAAAGATGATATTCAACGACGTGATGCGAACTGGTGTCTCTGTTGCAAAATCTGTATTCCAAAGAAGAAAGGTATAAAATGTTTTAATTACATGTCCAAGGTTAATTTAATAAAACTTTTGAAAAGAAAATAAGCTGTGATTCAAAATGTTACAAATTTCATCAATACAATCTTTCGGATTATCCATATAAAAGATTAATATACACTTTTTATAAAAAAAACACAGCAAAAAATTTGCAGAACCTTCTTTTGGTCAAAAATATTTAAAAAGCAGCATTCTGCACTCCTTCAGCACTCCAAATTTCTATTCTAATTTTGGATTTTGTCATCAAAAAATAATTCGGAATATTCTGGTATGTTATTTATATTAGTTAAATAAATAATGTAATAATAAATTATGTACTAATTATTTGAGCGCGTACGTTAAGTTTTTATTTCTTATGATTTGTTTACGATTTAACTTTCAAAATTTTAATTGTAGGTGTACAATCGTCCAAGAAACGTAACTATTTCCATCAACGTACCATGAAACGTTATCAACATTAATGGAAAATGAAATAAATTTTATTGTATCTATGTTATATGTAATTTCATTTTATGTATCATTTAAAATAACAAGGAATCTACGAGATTATATAGCTGTTTTTTGATAATTAAATTAACAAATGGAATAAATAATGGAAATAAAATAATGGAACAGTTGGATGTAAATAATTAACAATTGGACCGAAGGTTTTCCCAAATCAAAGATTTATACATTGAGGAAAATTATTCTTGGACAATCTTTTGTATCAAAAAATTCATTCTTGCCGCAATGATTTATAAAGAATTATACAAGATTATTATTACATGAATAAGTTTTTCTAAAAAGAAAGAAACCAGCGACAGAAGCATGCACAATAGAGTCAAACTTAGCACATCGAAATCAGATGATATACAGGGTGAGTTTTTTTGATTTTAGGAAAAATGTGTAAACGAAAAATTTGTAGGGTATTACATGTTTAATAAAGCAGTTTAACTGATTTTTTTATTTAAGCAATAATTTTTGAGTTATTTATGACACAAACTTGTATTTTTTCTAATGGAAACCATAGTTGGCCATAATAATAATATCTTTATTGTGTATAAACATATAGTATTACACTCGTACAGAACATGACAAACAATATCAAAATCACACACTACTATTAAATAAAATCTTTCTCAGTGAGAAATTCGGTCAAATACTGAGTACACGAGTAGTAAGCTCTGCGCGTCATAAAAGTATGCAATTTACTTTTAAATATGTTTAATGGCAATCCGGAAATCGCCGGCGGCAACTTATTAAAAAACTTTACACCTATTACATTAATACTTTGGCGACCTTTAGATAATCTCGAATATCTCTGTAAAATTTTATTTCTGTTTCTTGTGGGGTATTGGTGCACATCATCATGAGTGACAAACAAGTGAGAGTAGGTTTTGACATATAACATGCACTGGTACATGTATAAGGAAGAGAACGTAAAGATTTTCAAAGATACGAAAGAATTTTTACAATTTTCACGATATTCGAAATCATCAATTATACGTATTGCACGCCTTTGCAGTCGAAAAACTCTATCACAAGTTGAAGCACCCCCCCATGCAATTAATGCATATGACATTAGGGTCTGGCACAGGGAAAAGTACGCGATCCTCAAAACCCGTCTAGACACGTTCTTGCTTAGTATCAGCAAACAATATACAGGATGAGTTTTTTTCCATGTTTAGTATGGTAATCTCGAAAACTAGCGGAGATAGAGAGACGATTAAATAGGGAAAGAATTGCAGTTTCATGAACTCAATTTAATGAGCTTTTCATTTTTTGGATAAAATGCATGGCTAACTAGATATCTCGAAAAAACCGTTTTTTTGTTAATAAAGCAGTCTAACTGATTTTTTTATTTAAGCAATAATTTTTGAGTTATAACCAGAGCCGCGACGTTGTCGGGCAATTCATTGGCGGCTCGTCGCCATACGGTAGAGACTCGGGCCACATTACGCCACATATAATATATCACGCCAATGGTTGAGTTTTAGTCGGACAATCGGCCAAACACGTATTGAACGCTGCACCGCAGAGAACCCCCCCAAATTTTACATAGGCCAGCATTCAACCAGTATCGTTACGTTGCGGCACATCGATGTGCTTGATAGAAGCATGTTACTACTACGCTATAACCCGTTCGCTGCTCTATACAGATAGTGATATCAACAGCCCGAAACATCGCGGCTCTGGTTATAACACAATCTTGTGATATTTCTAATGGAAACCATACTTGGCCATGACTTTATAAAAAAAGGCATTTTCTCAACGATTCTAATGATATACACTCTTCCACATTCAGATCGGTTTTTATGACAGTCATAAATAAAAGCCGGGGTGATTTTTGCCCGCTTGAGTACTTGAAAAGATTTATAACAGTCAGACAAAGACAGGGTCGAATTTAAATTTTTTAAACTAAAATTTAATAAAAAAACCAAAGTTTAGTTATAACAAGTAAAATTTAATTATAAAAACTAATATAAAAGACTTAGAAAAAAATATTAATTTTAGGAATGTCTAAATAATAGAATAACAAAATTTTAAAGAATCTAATTATCCTCAGCTCTTTTTTGTAATTAGACAATGCATGCATTCTCAAAACATTTCTTAGAAAAAATATGTACTTAATATTAGAAACACAACAAATAAGAGAATAATGAGTATTTATATATCACCCTATTACTTTTTTACAATTTGCAAGTAAAGTGTGTTCTTTAATGCGGACCTGAGTGAGGAATCCCAGCATTCTACAATGGGAAACTACCTGGTGCAACCCCGTCTTTGTTCATTTTACAACTACAATAGGAAAGTGACAGAGTCATAAAAACCGATCGCCGTGTGGAAGACTATACCACTTGACATAGATATTTTTATTAATAAATAAATTATAGCCATTTATTCTGTTAATTGACAATCTGTTCAGGTAGTATGGTATGAAAACAATTGATAGATACGTTTGGTTATCACAGCTTAAGCCAAACGTATGTTTCGTTTAGTTTCTAATTAACGTTGATTAAGGTTTTGTAAATTATAATCAATATGAATTTTTCTAATCAAGAAAAGCGTGATACTATTGAGTGTTACATTTTATGCTATAAAAATGCAATACAAGTTGCAGAACAGTATTTTGATCGTCGCCAGTCTTCTCTACCTACTTTTAAGAGGCTGATAAGTTTGGCGAGTATGGTTCTTTCTGTAAACCAACTAAGGATGCAAGACAGAAGTAAGGATTTTTGTGAAATTTGCACTTTTACTGGTTAGTAAAAAATGTTGTATTAAATATAATACGTCTCTTTATTTACATGTTTCGCCTGTCCTCGCAGGCATCGTCAAAATACAGAGTAAGGTACAAGTTGAAGGTACAGATTGTCACGTTACCATGACAAATTGTAAAGAATATTTTATCTCCAAAAACTGCCCACTTGTGATTTTTAAACAGAATTTTTCCCTTAGTTCAACAATATAATAGCTTCTGCTGTTCAAAAATTTTATTTTCTTACATAATAATGACATAACATTAATAAAACAACATATGCTTATACAAAGCTGGTTCTGTATATAAAGCTGGTTCCACACGTTGCGCGAACTGGTACGCCAATTCAAAAAAAAAGCGGTACTTTTTCGTTGAAGTTGTGGCACTTTTCTTTTACATTAGTGACGTAATAGTCAGCGCATTGTGTGGAGCTAGCCTAATAATAGTAAGAATGTTACTTAAGCAGTAATCTTTGTCTAAGTCGCTTCGACGAGGTTTGAACCAGTTTGTCTTGTGCCATGTAAAGATCTTGAAAAGGAATTAAAAAAGAAAGCAATTCAGCCGATTCTGTTTTCTTTTTTCTCCTCTAGTCATTTCCCATAAGACCTTAACTTCGCCATCCGCGATTACGCGGCTACGAGGGATTTATTGTAACAATAATCAAAAATAGGCTGTTAAACAATTAATAATAGCCAAAATTAACAAATTAAGCTAAATTAAAATAAAATAGAAGGAAAAAAATAAATTCTTGACATGAAAACATGAAGTGTCTTGGTATTGGTTTTGAGAAAACAGTCGCATTCCATAGGGAGAGTGGTAGAGACAGTAGATGATGGTCGATGCAGTTCCATCAATTTCAATGCACCAGCTATCTCATAAATATCCATTTTTGCTTTTTTAAGAAGAAAGTGAGGGCTGCTTAATCGATATCGCCGTACTCTTAAGGAAAGCGTCGATGAAATGTTCTTGAAATTTTGTATGTAATTCGAAAACATTGAGCATCGTCGCGTATCGTTCTGATCTTGCAGTACTGTTACGCTCAACAATGTTAAAAATTATGCTTGCAGTTTTTGTCGCTTTGAGGAATTTAATTAAGACGTACTTGCTAGTCGTGTATGAGCCTTTTTATTTAGTCCAGATATACGTTTATCTTCTGGTGATATGTTTACCTCTAATGTGATTCCTTCTTGATTTTAGGCATATTTGATGGTTCATTGTTACCATCAATTTTATGCGCATTTGGCATAGATCCAACGTGTACTATTTTTTTCTACGCATGTGCTATCCTACCAGCGCACTTAATTACGACCCATCCATTAAAATTCTAACAGAATACGTGCTTATCTATTCCTTAATGATTACTTTGACCTTCAAATATACATATTATAAAATGGGATTTCCACGTTAGTTCTACTGCAGTCTAAATCAATATCCTCTACAATGAAGTTTCGTATCGTTGTATTTTTGTTATTTATAATGATGATCTATTCAATATCAACATCTGACCAAGAACTTCCTCGCAGCCTAGACGAGTATATTCCAAAAAAAGACGGTATAAAACATATTAATCAAAATGAACTTTGAACGCGTTATTTTAACAAGTTGGGTTTTTGATTAGGTCAAATAAGTTTTAATAGACCCTATAACTGCTACATGGTTCGATGCCGTGACGCAGAAGAATGCAGTGAAGATGATATTCTTCAACGACGTGATGCGATCTGGTGTTTCTGTTGCAAAATCCCTATTTCAAAGACAGGTATAAAATGTTTTAATTACACGTCCAAGGTTAATTTAATAAAACTTTTTAAAAGAAAATAAGCTGTGATTCAAAATATTACAAATTACATCAATACAAACTTTCGGATTATATAAAAGATTAATTTACACTTTTTACAAAAAAGAAAACAACAAAAAAGTTTGTAAAACCTTATTTTGGTCAAAAATACTTAAAAGGAGTATTACTCAACATTTTTATTCTAATTTTGGATTTTGTCATCAAAATATAATTGGGAACATTTTGGTATGTTATTTATATTAGTTAAATAAATAATATAATAATAAATTATGTACTAGTTATTTGAGCGTGTACGTTAAGCTTTTATTTCTTACGATTTGTTCAAGATTTAACTTTCAAAATTTTAATTGTAGGTGTACAATCGTCCAAGAAACGTAACTATTTCCATCAACGTTATATGTAATTTGATGTTGAAATAAAGAAAATAAAAAATAATAAGGAAACTACGAGGAATAAATAATGGAAATAAAATAATGGAACAAATGGAATTAAATAATTAACAATTAGACCGAAGGTTTTCCCAAATAAAAGATTTATATACTGAGGGAAATTATTCTTGACCAATCTTTTATATCAAAAAATTCATTCTTCCCGCAATAATTTATAATACTTAAATGAAGAGTTATACAAGATTATTGTTACATGAATAAGTTTTTTTTAAAAAGAAAGATACCAGCGACAGGAGCATGCACAATAGAGTCAAACTTAGCACATCGAAATCTGATGATATATGTAATACAAGGTGGTCCATTTCACGTGAGACAAGCGATTATCTCAAAAACGATGACCAAATGAAAGTTGTTCTGTGCGAAGGGGGAAACCATATGACGATAACATTTTTTGACCTTGACCTTATTTTCAAGGTTATATGAAGGTCACGACCAATTTTTTAAATGGCACCCTGTATATTTTATTGTAAAATCTGAATCTGTGGATAAAAGCAAAGTAATTCAAAAAAAATAAATAAAAAAATTTACTGTTTTGAATCAATAATTATAATCAATAAAAAATTAACATGTTCCAATGTAAAAAATCTATGTGAATTCTGTTAAAGTTTTTATTTGATTTACTCCATGGTAAATGACTCCAATGACTTCTTTGGACTTGGAGGAGTATATTTGGCAAGCTTCACATTCATTTACTTTGTCTTCAATATCGCAATTTAAACTTGGCCAACAAATATCGTTTCTTGCTCTCATCTTCATACGCACTATGTCAGGATGCTGATCATGTAAAATATCCAACACGGGTGATCTTAACTTTGTTTGAACAATCACCCATGTAAAACAATGATCCTCAATACTCAATTCATGCCGTCTTTTAAAGTGTGATTTCATATTTGGGTCTTGCAGACTATTTGGCCAGCCATGCCTGGTAAACTCCATCGCCCTCAAAAGGACAAGATCTTTCCCAGTCTCCTCTTCCAATTTTCTTAGCTGAGTGGCAGTTCCGTTACGAAAGAGAATGAATTCACTTCGCCAGTACAACGATAAAACATTTTTTGAAAAAAATGGAAACTTCTTCAGAAACAATTAACTAACGTTTATAATCTAGCAAGAACAAATAAGATTGTGGTTTTTTAAACATTTTCCTACCCGCTTCGATACATTGTCTTTAGTTCTTAATTCTTAGAATACTATTTAAGAATGGTCAACAAAAAAATCCAGAAGAGGTACATCGGGTGACCTGGCTCGTCGGAAATACCTTTGGAAAGAGGTCTAAAAGGTTCCGACATTTCTCCGCCTTTGTCAATTTGATAATACAATAACGCATAAAAAACAAGAGTTCGTGGAACTGCTTATGATTTCACTAACACTGGAAATGTGGAATCAAGAAAAGGAACTTGGCGAGCAACTGTAACTACGGAAGAAAGGGAAATTGCGGTATTAGCTAGCGTTGAGATAAATCCTCAAGTTAGCACTCGACGAGTTGTAATTGACGCCGGAATATCGAAGACCAGCATTTTAATAATATTACAGCGCAATATTGTTTTATGGAGGTGATTTTGAAAATCGATTAATATTTTGTTAATGAGCACAAGAACGAATGCGGTTGGACGTCAATTTTTTGGTAACGTGGTATTCTCGGATAAGTCTACTTTTACAAACAAAGGACAAGGTAATAGACATAACATGCACTATTGGAACGTTGAAAATCCGAGATGGTTGCGTCAAGTAGAACATCAACGATCTTGGTCGGTTAATGTTTGGTGTGGCATAATTGGTGATAAATTGATCGGTCCATACTTTATTGATGGTATGCTGAATGGGAGAAGTACCGAAGTATTTTAGGTGTCGTCTTACCAACGTTACTTGTAGATTTGAGCAGGGAAGAAAGATAAAATATGTGAATGCAAAGTGATGGGTGTCCAGCACATTTTTCACGTATTGCACGTGAAGCTTTAGACCGGGATTATGCTGGGCGATAGATTGGAAGACCTCCCCTTCCAATCCCAACCCAACCCAACTTCCTGGCCTGCCAGATCACCTGATTTAACACCTCTTGATTCTTTTTGTGGGGCGTCCTTAAGGATAATGTTTATCACGAAGTACCGACTACGCCAGAAAACATGAAAGAACGGATAAGAAATGCATGCAGAAATAGTAGCCAAGAAAACCTTTTAAAATGTAACGAAAGTTTTAGTAGAAGGGTTAATAAATGTATTGACGCGGGTGGGGAAATATTTGAACATTTATTATAAATTTTATACTTGTTGTTGATTAATAGTATACTTTTATCATTTTTTTATAAATAAACAATATTTAAAATTGTTTGAATAAAAGAATTATTTAGATTTTGTCTGCAAAAGATGTTTCGCCGTCGTACTGGCAAAACCATACGGTACTTTCTTTCTTTTTTAAATTATTTTACTTTTATCCATAGATTCATATTTTGCAATCAAAAACATAGCGTGCTATTTAAAAAATTGGTCGTGACCTTCATATGACCTTGAAAATAAGGTCAAGGTTAAAAAATGTTATCGTCGTATGGTTTCTCCCATCGCACAGAACAATTTTCATATGGTTCATTTTTATGTAAAATGAACCATTTTCGAGATAATCGCTGTATCACGTTAAATGGACCACTCTGTATACAATTACAGTATGTCCCCGGATCGAGTTACAAAGAGGAAAAAAATTTTATTACTGATTTTTCAAACTTATCTCAGCATAAATAATGCGTCGGATATGTTCAAACTTCTAAATCGCACGAATTTTTTTCTCTAACTATAGAAGTTAACAAATTATTCTCATTTTTATGTAAAAATTGGACTTTTTTCTAAATTGAAATTTTTTCAAGTTCAATTTATGATATGTAACCATAGCAACCACAAAAGTTACAACTTATGTTAGTGAGATTAAGTCTTTTCATGCGATGTTTACCGTGAAAAAGAGAATTTATTTAGTACAGTGCTATGGTACTGGTGAATTATGTTATCGTGTGGTTTAAAAAAATTCTAGCAAAGATATCCGGACACAAGAATATCAGAAGAAGAGGAGAATTGCCAGAATATCTTCGAAATAACACTTGCGAATCGATGCACAATGTTAAACAATGGCTGGAAGACAATGGCCTAACATTAAACGAGGAGAAGACGCAAAAAATCATGTTTAACAGAGGACATGAGAAGGCAGAATGTAAATCAATAAAATTTTTAGGGGTTATATATAGATGAGGAACTCAAGTGGTCTATTCACGTATAGAACACTGCAAGAAAGTTAAACAGGGCAATTTACTGCATAAGGAGAATCAGAACTATTAATAGCTTGGAAGCTACTAAACTTACATATTATGCTAGCTTTCACAGCCGAACAATCCTTTTCTGGGGAATGTATTCGGCTGCAGAACGAATTTTCCTATTGCAGAAGCGAGCAGTGCGGGCACTTTTCAATCTAAAAAGTATAGAAAGTTGCAAAGAATGCTGCATAGTTGCTGTATGTATCTTCAGTTGTATAACAGCCACCAGAAAGAAACTGTCCAAATTAACAGAAAATTCCCATCAACACGACTATCCAACCAGACAATAAATTTTTTTTTGTTTCTTCATTGACGCATTGTAAACTTTATTTTACACTCAATAAATTATTATTATTATTGAATTCATAATAAGTGTCCGATCTGATATAAATGTAAGTCCCAAAATAAGAGTCCGTTTTAAAACAAAAACAAGTTTTATGGACCCATTAATTGAAATATATTTTCGACTAACAACACTTCTTAAATAATGACATAATATTAATAAAACTACATATGCTTATACATATATAAAGCTGGATCCACAACTTTTTCGTTGAAGTTGTGATACTTTTCCTTTAAAGGGACGTGACGGTCAACGCATTGTGTGGAGCTAGCTTAATCTTTGCCTGTGTCGCTACGACGAGGTTCCTAAAACATTTAAAGCAAAGTGGTAACTGTTCTAGTCGAAACAGTTTATCTTTGCCTAAATGGGGCAATTTATTATTTTTGCTGCCATTTACATTCGTGATTTCCATCATGCATTGTTGATGTGATAGGAAGACCTTATTCAGTGTAATTCCACTCATTGTTAGAAGAGATCTTTGCAATGATTTTTAAATAGATCTCACTTTATTACGTATCAAAAGTAATCAAAGCATCGTACAAGTGTACTTAATACATATAAAGATTTTTGGTCAATTAATTAACTCAACTTAATGTAATAAATGTTAAATGAATTCACTTTGTATAAATTTGTATGGAAACATAATTTTGCAAAAACGTTTAGAAAAAAAAAGAAATCATCAAAAGGTATAGTGTCAAAAAAATGTCAAAATTAACAGTAAAAAAAGTGTGACTATTACAAAACATTATTAAATAATGAGAGAAGGTTGAGATGCCTTCTCCGAAAAGCAGCGTGCACCAGCACACATCGAATGCACCGACCGGACAAACTGTCGAACACAAGGAAAAGAAAACCGTTTTAGAAAATCACGGCTACTATTTAGGAAAGACGATAGGAGCTGGCTCTTATGCGACAGTTCGGGTAAAACATTCAGTTTGTCTGAACGATAATTTCGATTAATAGCCCCAGTAAAGTTCGAATTCGTTTTTATCGCTTTTAAGCTGGCTCACAGTGATATTCACGGTGGTGACGTTGCTGTTAAAATCGTCAGCAAATACACGGCCCCTGAGGATTATTTAAAGAAATTTTTGCCGAGGGAAATTGAAGTTGTGAAAGGATTAAAACATCCCAATTTGATACGGTTTTTACAAGCTATTGAGACAACACACAGGTAAAAAGAATAATTTCGTAGATAGCAATCTTAAAGAAAAAATATCTTTTTAAGGGTTTATATTTGTATGGAATACGCTGCAAATGGAAGTCTCCTAGACATTATTCGTAGAGATACTTATATCGATGAAACCAGGGCTCGAAATTGGTTTCGACAGTTAGTTGATGCAATAGATTATTGCCATGAAAGAGGTGTCGTTCATAGAGACATAAAATGCGAAAATTTACTTATGGACGATGGGTTTAATATTAAAGTATCCGATTTTGGATTTGCACGTGGTCATTTAAAAAATAGTAGTGGTCAAAATGTATTGAGCGAAACTTTTTGCGGAAGTTATGCTTATGCTTCGCCGGAAATTTTAAAAGGAGTTCCATATCATCCACAATTTTCCGATGTTTGGTCAATGGGGGTAGTTCTCTATGCAATGGCTTTTGGTAGACTTCCATTTGATGATACAAACTATTCTTTACTTCTAAAAGTAAGACAAAAATTATTAAATAAAATAAATAATTCACTCAACCTTTGATTTTTAGCAAGTGTCTAATAAAGTTACCTTTCCCAGAGAACCAAAAGTAACAACGTCTTGTAGAACGTTAATATCAAAAATTTTAGCCCCTTTAAAAGTTCGTTTAAGAGTTTCTGGTATCCGAAACGATCCCTGGTATAACTACGTAGGTGATAAAGCGGGAAGTAGTAAAGATCATGCAACCGTAAGTCCACCCTAAGGGTAAACTAATATAATAATGTAACTAACTGTAATAATGGCAAAAAGGATATTGTTAGGACCCCAAAAAGATTACTTCAGCAAATCGTGGTATGAAAGACAATGAAACCCTCGCAAAAGACTTAACTCGGCTTATTACCAAAGAACAACAAATCGAATTGCAGGGAAATGTGCAGAAACTTAAACAAAAGAGACATAGTACAGATGACCAACAATATTCAGTTCAGGAAAAGCAATCTAGGGACAAAAACAAAAAGAAATAATAATAAAAATTTTTGGTGTTTTAAGTTGTAATTTTTTTAAGTTTTTCGAATAAAGTCACATTTTTTAAGAAGTACATCTTATACTTTATGAATAGTTAAGTTTAGAATAATCAGAAAATATGACTCCAATAGAAAAAGACATTGGTGAAATTAATTAAAGAACGCGTCAAGAAAGAAATCTTTAAGAACACAAAAATTGCTAAAGTGTGGATCGACGAAGAGTACCCTAAAGATATACGAGAAGAGAGAAGGCTGGTGATCTTACAATTGAAAGAGGCCAGAAAGATAGGACATAAGACACAACAAATTACTGATGATGAATAACGAAACATGAACAGCAAAACATGATTAACAGGAGAATGAATTAAGAATACAAAAAAGATGAAGCATTTGCAAAAAGCGAACGTTGATGGAAAGATCATCACAAAGAGAAACCTAAAAGATTACAAGGAAAACTTAGAAAAACGAGGTAAGTGAAACATTAACGACATAGATACAATAGACAAAGGACAATAGGTAAAGGACCAGTTTAGGTAACGAGAGCAGCGGTATTTTGGAGATGACTACATGAAACGTTAGAAATTTTGATGGGAACAAATAAAGAAAAAAAAACATGGAATTTACAAACTACCGAACAGAAATGTATTAGTATACAGTGGATTAAGGCAGGAAACAAGAGTAATGGCAGGGGTGGTATACTTGGTTACAAAAAATAGAAGAACAAATACAGAACTGGATTGCATGATCTGAATGACTGCTAACAGTTGCATTGAGGAACAAAAAGGTGAACGAAATAAGATTAATTATGATTACGTACAGATCAAACGAGGACCAGAAAACTGAAATCAAAGAAATTTTCTGGAAAGAACTAACAAAAGAAGTTTAACAAGCGAAGGAAGAAATTTAATGTAATAGGAGATGTTAATAATAGAGTTGGAATACAGGGTGGTAAATATAGAACTGTTATGGGAAAACATGTAGAGATGCCATTTGAATTATCTAATGATAAAAACATACATTTTTCCCACACAAAGAAATACATTAATTCATAAGGAAAGCACAAAGTAAAAACGAAAGATCAAAAATCGATTACGTGCCGATAGAAAATAAATACAAAAAGGATCTAAATATTACAAAAGTGAGAAGAGGACCAGAACTGGTAGTGAACCACTTTGTGGTATTATATAAGGCCAGAAAAGAGAGAGAACAATGCAAACAACAAAATCACACACGGAAACAGAACACAGTAAATTATACGATCAAAACGTATAAATTGAGAGATAGAAAAATAGTAGAGAAATTCGAACGAGAAATGAATAAGAAAATGGAAACATAGAGGATAACTGGGAATGCTTCAAAACAGTGACATTGACTAAGTCAAGGAAGTGTGTGGAATAAATAGGAAGAATGATAACAAAAAGCAGGCATGATGGTGGTCAGACGAGAAAAAAATGCAAGTAGAGGTGAAGAAAGAGATATAAAGAACTATCTGGATAAAAAAACTAAAGAAAGTTACAATAACTACCAAAGAGAAAAGAAGACAAATGAAATGATAACTGCTGCCAAAAATAAACCATGAAAAACCTTTAGAAAGAGAACAGAAAAGAGGCAAAATATACTAATTGTAAGTATTAAAGATAAGAAGGGGAAAGTACTAATGGAGAAAAATAAAATTATGGAAAGATGGAGAGAGTATTATGGATAAATACTGAACAAAACATAAGAAGCAAAGAAACAAACACTATTATTGATAGGAGATGGGAAGCGACAAAGTGGAAGAACTTACTGCAGATACATAATACGGTACAGATAGAAGAAAAGCGACTAACATACTATGGAAAAGTATTAACTCATTCATAAAAGGAGATGAAAAACTATCATGGTATTACAATATCAAGCATAACTATGAGAGTAGTAGGTATTTACCGATTGGCGAACCTCCTCCTGAAACCTTAAGGTCAAGGTCACGCTTTTGTACGTTGCGTAAATTTATAACTAAAACAAGTCTGCCACATAAAATATTACACAAACGATGTTTTTTAAAATATCTTTTAATTAATGACTCTTCTTATTGACTTCTTTATTCTTTATAACTCCCAGCATTACTCATTCCATCGCTCTTTGGGTTACACTAAGTTGTTGTGCAGTTTCCCTTGTCAAAGGTTTTCCTTGGTTACAAGTCCGCATATTATATGCGGACTTGTAAGTGATTACACTGGCAGTATGCAGCTATCATACACCTTTCGTTTTAGGTTTCTCAGCATTTCTTTATTTTTCAGTATAAAACTGACTTTTCCAAATTCTGCTCATTATAGTTGAATCCGTCGCTTTATTTCGACTGTTTAATTTTCTTTGCCAATTTTATAGTATGATCAAGATATAGTACTGGCTTATCGCGAATCTATTCTAACATCTTCTAGTGCTGCCAGAAATGACCAGGCCTCTATGCTAATAAAGCCTTTGTGATTGTCAATGAATGCCGAGTGTAAAGAGACATTATATTCTGTGCTTTTTATTAGTGTTAATAGTTTGCAAGTGGTCGACAGTACTGAAACCTTTCCGAAAATCGGCCTGCTCCACCGGTTGATATGAATCTAGCTTTACTGTAAGACGATTTGATATAATTTAAGACAGTAATTTATAAAGGTGGGATAATAAACTTATAGGTGTATAATTTTCAATATTTGTGTTGACTCTCTTCTTGTGCATAAGTATGACCTCGGTGGGTCATACCATTACCTCATTATCTTCAAGGATACCATTTTTAACACTTCCGAAGTTGTAGAATTCTCACCGGAAGCTTTCATATTCTTCAACTGTCCTCCGAACCAACGTTTAGAACCTTTCTAGTCACAGATTTCAGGTTTGGTATGCAGAAGTGTATAGGTTTCCATAGAATGTTTGGATTTCTCATTATAGGGGATAATTTAGTGGGGAAATAACACATTTCCTTGTTTGGTTTGGATTTCTTTTACAATTCGTATTCTTTCTCTGGTTATATTTCCATTTTCAGGTTTCATATAGTGTTTTTTGACAATAATTCACTATGGTAGAAGTGCAATAAACGTAGCATTGGTAAATTTGTAGATTTAGAGGCAGGTAGCTTGATGATAGGCATCACTCAAGTGGTGTAAGTCGGTACATTAAAACGAACATCTCGCAAGAGCTCCATGGAATCAAGCAAACCGCAGACCAATCTGTATAGGAACATCTAATAACAGCATTGCAGGCATATGAACAATAAGGGAGATTAAATTTGTGCCCGCTGAGGCAAAATTCAAAACACTATCGACATATGCTGAATACAAGAATACGATGCTTAGCAGATTGGTAAAGGGGCAGGATCTACGAATAATAAAAGTTAACCGGTTTGAAGCATCCTATACAACCGCGTCTATGTGGTCACACAAAAGGAGTTTTGAGTCAAAATTAGTTCCCAGGCGATGTTTAATATTTTAAGGGTAACAGACGTAAAATAGGAAACATCAACCTTCACTGCGTGGCGTCTACAAGAAAGAAAAAGCTACCCATAATAGCCATTCGATACGTTAAATTTTGTAAGTTTTTCCAAAAGAATTTTGTGATGTATGAAATAGCATCTACCTGGAGATCCTCATTCATGGACTTCTGAATATAATTCACGAACTTAATCAAGGTTGTTTCTACCGACCGTCCACGTAAGAAACCATGCTGTTGATGGATGATTTGTAGATGAATGTAGTGGTTCACTAGTTTTTCAAAGACCTTTGAAACAGTATGTAGAAGAGAAATTGGACGATAATTAGTGACCAAGTGTTTTTTACCACACTTGAAAATTGGTATTATAAATGCCAATTCAAATCCATTCCATATGGAAGATAGATAGTTTCACAATTAGACTGAAAATGTGGTATAAAGGAATAGCTAGTTTAAGGTAAAATGATCATTTGGTGGCAGATAAACACAGCACAAAATTATCCGCACACTACCTACATACCGGACATAGGCAACCACATATCTTCAGCTCCCGTCGTACGCACCGGCAGTGGAGTAAAAGAGATCCCTCTACGTGCCCTAATAAGAACAGCTCCACCATCGGATTTTTGAGAATCCGTCTAGCATCTGTCACGACGATAAATATTGTACTCATTACAGAAGATTTTCCCACCGTAAAACGAATGATTTAAATGCGTTTCGGCAAGGCATACGAAGTCGTGAGTAAAGTTCTGTGAGTTTGTGTAGCTACTTTCAGTTTTTGTGCACAATCCCCGTAATAGATCGTGAAAGGCATTGCAGCAATCGAGATTTGATAACAATCACACCGGATTTGTCCTCACTATGAACATGGATAACACAGTTTCGAAACCTTATTTCTAAAGAGATTCGGGATGCAGATGCCCGTCGGCCCCATACTGTTGTTCTTCTTGCAGCTGACAGAAATTTGTCACGCAAACTGCGAGACAAAAACTTAACCACAACGTTCGTAGTCTTAGTACCATCGATACCTCCTTCTCTTCAGAAACAATCTGACGAGGGAGTCGATGGACAGCTTCCATATTACTCTCGGTTATCGGGCAGCTTATTACTTCACCGATACGGCATAATACGAACCCAAGATCCACGTCTCTTTTCTCGGAAATGCTCGATAAAATTAAATTATTCAGTCTGGAATACTACTCTAAGTGCTCAACGCGAGATGTCAAATAAGAGACGACGCTCTTTAGCCTGGTGTTCCCCGCAACAACCGACTCTACCTTAATCCTATCCACAAAAATTAATAGTACCTTTAAAATTAGAAATTTTATAATCATAAAAGGCAAGGGACTTTAACATTTCATCATGCTTTGCGTCCATATTTTTAATATCCTACTGGATTGATTTCAACTCAGGTACGGTAGGCTCGGATGAAGACAAGGGTGGGCAAGTACAATTGGTAGGCCTTTACAATTAGGATATTTTCAAAACAATGCCGTTAATTCTTTTTTCGAACTACACAAATAAAAATTAAATCGCTAAGAGGATTAAAGATAAACACAAAAAGCGGGATAAACATTTTATTAATTATAAATTAATTATATACATAACTTCTTCCGTCTCAAATAAATCCAAGAAATTACAATAAATTAATGATTTTAAGGGAAATATGAAGATTTGTAACCAATTCCAACACATTCAATAATTGAACCTTCTCCACTTGGAGTAATACAAAATTTTGCCTAAAAGTAAATAGTTTAATAGTTATATCTAATCTAATTCAATGTAAAATAAACTTACTTTGGTTAATTTTTCAATAACATAAATTGCAGTATTTGTATGCATGCTGATGGTACCAACTTTAATTTTAGAAATTCCATCAGCGAGCGCCATAAAAACAATAACCTGATCTTGACTATGTATATCAAGACAAGCTCCGTTTTTTAATGCTGTTCTTAACTCCTCGGCCGCTTTCAAACCCGTTTGTTCCGAGGTTTCACCTCTTTTTCCCAAAGCAGATCCACCCAATACGCAACCACTATTAGTTTCAGCAACTAATCTATATTTTTGTTAAAAAAAGTGTTTAAGAAATATTTTTGAGCTAACTAAAACTTACATAATTCCTGAACAATTTCCAACACTCACACCTGGAGATTCTTTATAACGTTCGATATTAATGTTTTTATAAAAATCTCTTAATCGATTAGTAGCTGAATTAGCCATAGTATGAGTCATATGAAGCGGTAAAGTACCAGCAACAAAGCTCCAGCCATAAATGCCGGTTACATCACCTTGTTCTAGCATTTCAATCGGGCTTAAATTTGGTATGGGTTTAACAGTAACGGTAACGTCTCCACCCCCTTTTGGAAAATAACCCCGCCGTTTCAAATAAAAATCGAACGTAGCCCCGAATTTTTCTAACAACGGGCGGAAAACCTCTGTCGTGTAATCAATTTGGGGGGCCATTTCCGCATTAGTACCCCCTTGTAAGTTTAACGTCGATTCGTCATCTGCGAATAAAACGCATGGAAGTGCCACTTGAAGCAGTAAGCTTATACTGCCGGCCGTTTTTATAACAGCTTTATAATTTCCACTTTTTACTTTTCCAGGGTGAAAAGTTATTTCTGTTGAACCTATTTCCGCACCCTGGACTTTACCATCGCAAATATCACAAACAAGTTCAACACCTAAACATTAATTAATTAAATATATAAATTTTATAGGATGTTATTTTTTACCTTTTAAATGTTGTTCCATAAGACCGGGTTTTGAACGACCAGCTCTTATGTTAATTATTTTAATTGGAGTGTTTGTAAGTACGCTTATTGTCAAAGATATTCGTAAAATTTGACCACCCTGATGATAACAATTTATTAATTTAATGTTATTATAATAACGAATGTAACAAAGTATTTTATTATAAGCTACTGCGCATACTTACACCTTCTAATTGTGAACCATCTATTTCAACCAGCTCATTAGACATTTTTAACTGATTATTTGAAGAGGTTTTAAGAAGACTTATCAGGTGTCTTTGTGTTATCTGTCAAAAATATTTTGGAAATTGTCAATTTACTTAATTATGTATTTTTATTCTTGTTTATTAACATTTATCATTTATTTTGAATCCCATTTAAGGAGTACTTATTTTGATTTAATATCATAATGTGATATGTTTGAGCTGCAATCCAATTTTTCTTTATATAAATTGTATTAATTATTTAAAAAATTGTATACTATGTTTGATACTGACTTATGTTTGATATGACTGCTATAAATATGTATAGGTAATATTTCTAATCTCTTAAATTGAATCTAGGAAATTAAATCATTAAAAAAAATGTGATAGCGTTTCAATGAAATTTATTAATTTATTAATATTAATGGTTTGTTTCTAATTTAGAATAACACTAAACGGAATTATGATATGTTATAATCTCAATCATACTTACATTTTTAGTTACCTCCAATCTTCTTAATAATAGATAACTGTAAGATAAAATATTGTATTTATCACTGTTAAATATATTGATTGACAAGAATTAACATTTTTTTTGTTAAAAACCGGTTAAGTTTTAAAGATAACCTAATCCCTATGCCTAACCTTAACCAACTGTCAAATTGAATGCCAAACTCACTAATCAGTATTTGAGTTCCTTCTATATAGACAACCAATTCGACAATTTTCAACCGAAATTATGATTTTGTTATTAAATTAACCCGGCATTACATAGATGGAAGATCTTAAGTGTTAATCTTAAATAAAAATTAAATCTTAAAAGTGTTATGTCTTTTTGAAAACCAAATAAACTTGTCTTTGGCTTTTACACGAATTATTTTGGAATGCAAGGCTTGTTATTTTAAGCGTGCCTACTGTCGTCAACTTATGGTCTTTTAGCAGTTTCATCAACAATTCGTAACTAGTGTAACAATTATCAAATGTTACATTCCGATTGGAACCAGAAATAGCTTCTATGAGCCTCTCAACACTATCTGCAGGTGAATTAGTGATACTATAAGACACACTTGGTTATCTTCCTGCATATACCTCGAGATTCAAAACATAATAGGAACACACATCAACCAATGCTTGTACTCTGAGTTGAGCTACTTGCAGTAAAAATGTACTGCAAGTAAAGTATCCAGTACTTTTTTACTTTAAGTAGTTTACTGCCAGTACTTTCAAATTGTAGGTACTTAATACTTGTACTTTCAGTATTTAGCTTAAAATGTACTGGATATTTGTCACTTGATTGACATAAGAAGTACTTGAAGAACTGTTTATTTACTCCAAGTAGTTTATCTACTTCCAGTACTTTCAATAGTAAGTAAAATAACAAAATTTTAAAGTTTTCTTATACCTAATATTTATCATCATACGTATATTAGTTATATATTTAACAGTGATAGTTTATACTTCATCATTAAAGTAAAAACAAGTAAAGAATACCTATAATATATTTAATAATAATAATTATAATAATATATTTAACATTTTTTTTATCTTAGTTATTGGAGATATCACATGTTGTAAAATTCTTTTTATGAAGAGAAACTATCAGTATTACAAAATAACTTACAAAAACAGTTACATGACAATTTACATGTCAGATAATACAATAAAACAAGTAATGTACCACAAACGATGTACAACAGTCGTGGAATTGTTTATTTTTCTTGATAAAAAGAATTTTACAACATGTGGTCTCACTTATAACAATAAGACTTTTACAAAATAAATAGGTCTTCTTTACTTGTAGTCTGAAGAAGCTGGGGATCTCTTTCATCATCTTTTTATGATTGTTCAAGACTAAGAAATTTAACTAAAATTTAAATAACCTACATAAAACTAAAACATAAAAGTACAAAACTACATAAAATATACATATATGGAGAAATGGCAACACAAAATTTTTAAATTTGTTTCATATTTGAGATGCGATTCTTGCACTACGTTTTCCGTATTGCGACGAGTAAACGAAAGAAAGAATACTAAAAGAAAATAACAATATTCTTTATTATCTCATCTGCAGTTTCCTTATTTCGCCTATTATAACGTAAATTCGCTTGTCGTAACCAATTGCTTACTACCACTTCATATTCTTTATCAGTTAAATGGAAGCTCTTCCTAACTGCCACTAAAATGTATGTTTAAATTAGAATTCGGTCATGGAAAAAGTTTTAAACTCCTCCTTAACCAACGCGATTTATTCGCTGTAACGGCGATTGTTTCGCATGACGTTGTCGCCAGGTCAACACGGAGCCGCGGCAAATGAACATACCCAGACCGACGCGAAAGTATCGCTACACCCACGGTTTTTGTCGTTGTCACCTGACAGTTGAAAAAGTCGGTTTGGGCACGTTTGTGCATGTTCATTTGCCGCCGTGTCGACTTGGCGACAACATTATCAAGCGTAACAATCGCCGTCGCAGCGAATACATCGCGTTGGTTAAGGAATAACTTTATGTCAATATAATATTCTTCGGTTAAATTCAATCACAAGATTTAAGTCACCATTTTAAACAAGAATGTTTTTAGATAAATTTAAAAATAACTAAACCTAGTGGTGATATATAAAAAAACTTATACGAAACTTACCTGCGCCATTCTAAACCAATATTCGAGCCACAGAACAGATATATAGAAAACGATTCGAAGGAACTGAGAACAGAACTGAACAGAACAAAACACACAATAGAACAAGTCGTGACAAGACGCTGATGAGTCACCGCGTCCTGGAACATGCGCATACGTTCACAGGCGCTGATGAAGATATTCAGACATGTTTCAGACACATTTGTAGAGAAATGTTTCAAATGAAATGTTTCTGCTACATATTTTAATGATATTTCATAAATATTCCTACTGAAATGTATTTGATACATATCTTTAGATACGTTTCGTAACAATCGTATCTGTCACGTATATGAAACGTACTTGTAAAATGTTTCATTTAATTCATTGTACGTTCAAATTGAAATGTTTCGCAGATGTTTCTTGTTTACTGGGTAACCATTCACTACATAGTGTTCGATTCATTCTTAATTCCCATCCCATCTCTTTACTATATCAAAATTTAAATTATGCGTATTTTTGATGTTTCAATAAGTTTTGATAGTTGCGGTCAGATCATAGGGTCAAATGATCACACACATTAAACTTGATATGTCAAAATGCGCTTTTGTCTGTAGAACAGCAGATATATGGTCTTATAGAAGAGAAGTTTCATTGCAGTAACTTGTCATTGGATAACCGACAATCTACAAAGAAAATCTGTAGCATTATCTTGTTGTCAATTTGAAGGAACAGATTCATATAATAGAACTGACAATGGGTCGAATTTCGTTAAGTGTTGTCAAGAATTTGGAGTTTATACGGATAAAGAAACTGAAGAAGATAATACAGAACAGATGTTTGAAACGACCGAAACTGAGGCACTAATTCCAGATTTATAAAATGTAGGCGAAGGAACTGAAATTGTTTCAGATTTACAATTTTCTAGTGTTGCAGAATCTTCCGAACCAACAACTAGTAAACATCATATATGTTTATCGAACCACCTTGGATACGCCTCACGTACATTAAATTTAATTACTACAACAGACTAGAATTACTCTCTACTACAAAATTCTCATTTAAAAAACAAAAACAGTTCTGTTCTTAATAAATGTTCGAAGTTGTGAAAAAAGGCTAGAAGACCAAAATCTGTGAAATAATTCTTAAAATTTTGGGTCATATACTAACTTATCTTAGTGTAACCAGGTAGAACTCTTTATATGATGCCGCAAAACAAAATTTTATTGTGCAAAGAAAAACTGGATGATCTCTGTGACAAATTATTAGTTTCGACATTTACTCAGAATGATATTTTGGTTCTGGAGGAATACATAAAAATAATGAAACCAATAGCAGAAACCCTTGATATTCTTCAAGGAGATCAACATACCTATTACGGATACCTTCTTCCCAGTATTGTATCATTATACATAAAGGTAGAAAAAATTAAACAATCTCTGACAATCAAGCATCTGATTCGACCTACTGCAAATATTTTTAAGCTATTTAGAGCACATTTATTTACTCTAAATAACTAATATAATTGGAGTACTTAAACGAGTAATTACTTTGTGCTGGGTATTTGAAATTTTAGTTTCAAATAAAATTACTTATTACTCCAAGTATTTTTTAAAAATATTTGTTAACAAAGGTGCACGCCTTGGCGTACGTTGACGATTTGGTGGTCGTGGCTAGAGGGGCGGTGGAGACGAAGAAGATGATGAGGTCCCTGGAAAGATATTTTAAAGCGAAAGGGTTGGAGGTAAACGTCGAGAAAACAAAGATAATGAAGTTCTGCAAAGGGGGAAGAAGAAAGAAGGAGGAATGGAGGTGGCAGGGAAGAGAGATAGAGCAAGTGAAAGAGTACACGTACCTGGGATATGGTTTCCCGGGAAGTAATAAGGTCGGAGCGCACGTGAGGGCGATGGCAAAAAGAGCGAACAGGGTGTTGGGCGAAGTTTGGGGATAGGGAGAAAGAACTTTTGGGAGAGACGTGGGAAAAAGAAAGGTTATGTTTGATGGCTTGGTAAGGAGCACAATGATGTACAGCGCAGAAGTATGGAGATGGAGAGAACAAGGTTTGCTGGAGGATATACAAACACGATATTGGAGATGGGTACTGGGGTTGGCAAGGGAGACTCCAGGGTATGTAATGAGGGAGGATGTTAAGGTGGAGGCAGTAAGGGTGGAGGCGGGAAGAAGAGCAGTGAAGTATGAGGAAATGATAGAAGCAAGACCACATTGCGGGATTCTGGGAGAGTGCTGGAGGGAAATTAAGGAGAGGAAGCTGATCTATGGGCAAAGAGACAGGGAAGAATATTATAGAAGAGTGGGATACTCACTAACTGGGATCGAAAACAGAAGAGCGGAAAGAGGTGAAATGTGGAGAGCACTGAGAGATAGGGACAGGGATATACAGAGGCAGGAAAGAAGGTCACAGATACGAGAAGGGAGATACAATGAAAGGTATGGGGAGATAGTGACAGAGGAACTGCCAAAATATTTGTTGATGGAGGGGGATGATGAAGGGAAGAGATTGGTGGCCAGATTCCACTGTGGCAATGAGGAGAGGGGGAGTAGGTACTGGGCGGACGATCTGCAGAGGTGGTGTAGGCTTTGTGGAAAGGATTGGGAGACGCTGGAATACATGCTGAGAGGGTGTAGTAAGCTAAGGGAGGAGGCAATGGACAGGAAGCA